TCTTCCAACCGAAACTGTTCTATGATTCTAAACCCCAGCCCATGGCATGAACCTTGTGCTGTGCAAATCTGCCACCAGGTCACCGAGTGCTTTGCCCGGTCCTGCCTCCTGCCACAGCTCCCAGCAAATCACCAGAGGGAGCCCCCGCTGGCATCTTTATTACTTAAAAAAAAAAAAAAAAAATACAAATCCTCTAGCAACGACAACCTTCTAACTGCAAAAAAGTAGTTCTCTTGCTTTTGTGCCCCTACGCTTTTGGGATGGTGAAGGACCTGCAGCCGCAGCAACAGAAGAAGCGAGCAGCACGGCTCGTGATCACTAAGTTCTGCCTAGAGCTTGAAATGGGTGCTGACAGCGACCGAGCGGGGCTCCTTCTGCTCCCAAAAACTGCCTAGGGCGAGCGGAAGCTGGGGTATTTATTTGAGGTTGAGGATTTTATCTCAGAAGTCATAGAATCATAGAACAATTTGGGTTGGAAGGGACCTCAAAGATCATCTAGTTCCAATCCTCCGCCACAGCAGGAACATCTCCCACTAGATCAGGTCGCTCAAGGCTCCATCCAGCCTGGCCTTGAACACTTCCAGCGATGGGGCATCCACGACCTCCCTGGGCAACCTGTGCCAGTGCCTCAGGGTAAAGAACTTCTTCCTTAGATCTAGTCTAAACCTACACTTTTCCAGCTTCCACCCACAACCCCTCGTGCTGTCACTGCAGGCCCTTGTCAAAAGTCCCTCCTCAGCCTTCTTGTAGCCCCTTCAGGCACTGGGAGGCTGCTGTAAGGTCTCCCCGGAGCCTTCTCTTTTCCAGGCTGAACAAGCCCAACTCTCTCAGCCCAATCCTCAGCGTTCCAAGCTGATCCTTGGGGACAGCAGGGAAATTACAGATGGCAATTTTAAATGAGACCTTCAAGATAACTCAGAGCATCTCAGCCACTGGGTACAGCCTCCCTGCAGCACACAGAGCTGATCCAATTTTGTGTCCCAGCCTGGATGAAAGCTTCCTATAGTCCTACCCCACAGCACCAGGTATTGAGAAAGGCAACAACTACATCCACCCTCCTAGCCAGGCTCTAAAAATACCGCCTAAAGATCAAAGACACTCATCAGTCCTGTGTGGGACCAAGTCTGCTTAACGCTCCCATTCTGTGAAACATTCCTCTTAAAGCATAATCCCACTTTCCCCGGCTCGAGTGGGGTGAAATGAGGTTGATCCCCCAGAAAGCGGTTTAGATACATCTCCTTCTTGATGCTCAGCTTCATCCCCAGGGTGTGAGCACTGCATCAAGTGATCCCAAAGCCTGTCCCTGACCCTCAGGGGCAGGGGAGGACGCTGCGAAGCGAAGCACTGAAGCGGGACGACAGCTCCTGGGAGAGGGGATGGCTTGCGCTGCTCCGTTCTCATCACGGGGGTGTCTCTCATCACGAATGAGTAGAAGGCAACATGACTTGGTGCACTGGGGGAAAGGAGGAGCAGAGACAAAGAAAAGGTCCCAGAAGCAGAGCCGGAGACACCAAGGAAGGCAAATTCGACACAAGGCACCTGGTGAAAGCTGCAGCACGGACCCTCGGGTGCAGTTTCAAGCCAAGATAAGCAAAGCCAACCAAATCAGTTCCACTTTTAAAGGATCTCTGCAAACCTCTCCTCACTGCACTGCCCGGAGGGACCCAAGGGGTCCTGGAACCAAACAAGGAAGATGTGGAGAATCACCATTAGGACTTTGTTTCTTGACTCAATGGATCATTCCCTGAGTAAAACCCTTTCTATGGGTGTAAAAGGCTATACAGGAAGCTGGCTGGGAAATGGAGGGGGCAACAGATCCGAACCCAACAGCATCATGCAACCAAGGCCTCTTCCAGCAAAATCGTTGAGAAAGAGATTTAATAACGCCCCTGCCGCCCCACCCGGCTGCTCTGGAGGCTTCACACACATTGGCCAAATCACTGCTACGAAGAAAAATCTCCCAGACCGAGCATCCCATCCACTCCAGTGCTATTTCTGCAACCGAGCGTACACCAGAAACGCCACAGCTGAAATCACGGCAACGCCCACAGCCGGGACGACGTAGGGCAGGGGCAGCCTGCTGCCATCCCTGGAGGGAACTTGAGCCTCAGACGAGCTGGTCTCAGCGCCACGGCCCGAGTCAGAAACTGGAGAATTTCTGAGGGGACTGGCTCTGTCTCGGAGGTCACTGCCTGCCTCGAGCCGGGAGCTGGAGTGATGGTCCTCCCAGACCTCGCGGGTGCCCACGGAGGTGCTGTCCCAGCTTGAAGGTGGACAGGAGTCTCTGCTTGCTCCAGCTGCCTCCTCTCCCCCCGGGTCTTCCCAAGCTGCTGGAGCCAGGCATTCCGAGGAGACTCTGAGGAGCACTTCTCCTGGGCTTGAGCCATCCGTGCTCACCAAGATTGGGTCACTGCGGAAGGTGAGGCTATCAGACACCCTGGGATACTGGCTACTGGGCCTCTGAGTGCTCGGGCATCTGCTGGCTGCCCTTGGGCTCTCCTCAGCTGTGGAGAGGAGGACGCCTGGCTTGCTGAACTCCACGTCCCTCTCCACGTTGCCACAAGGTGCCCAGATGGTCGTGGCAGAGCTCACCCAGGATGCTGTCCTCCTAAATGTGCCTTCAGCGCTTCCTGCAGCAGTTGGGAGAAGGTCCACTGAAGGTGGGAGCACCTTTGGGAGACAACAAGAGGGGCTGAGTGGCATGGGGAGCACCCATTTGGCCTGGTCTTGGGCACCCACATCACGCAATAAGCCCACTTCAGTGCTCAACCACCACATCTCCATCGATATGGTAATAGGGGCTTTACATATATAAATATATACACAAAAAACCAGTGGGGTTGGGTCACAGGTAACCCCCAGGAAGGAAGAAGAGGAAAGAAAGGGAAAAGGAAAGGGAAAGGAAGAGGAGAAGAGAAACAAGCTGTGAGGAGACAGGTAGAAAGAGACACCTGGAAGCCAAGAGACTGGCAAGTCAAGGAGGGGAAATAAATAAGGAGCCAAAGCCCAACAAGCCTTCACTTCCTTCTCCCAGGCTCTAACATACAGTGTCTGGATGAGGACACAAATCCAGTGAGGGAAAAAAAGCCTTGAATAAACTCGTCACCAGCTGAAAATCTTACTCTGCAGCAGAAAATCTCCTGACCAGGGAGAGTTTGCAAAGACCTGAAGGAAATGCAAGCAGCAATGGGAAAGGTCACCTACTTTCTCCTTCGTCAGCACAGAGTGGGTGCTGCCGGCTGACCCCGTGGGCAGTTTTTCCTCTTGTACAGGATGCTTCACCAAAGTGCTGTAGGATGAGGAAGTGTCTCTGGGTGCATGGGTTTCCATCTGAGTCTCTGTCAGGGAGAAAACAAAACATATTGCATTAACCAGGAGCCCCAAAAGGTCAGTTTTGCTCTTCCTCTGGGATTCTGCTACAGGAGACTCCCAGAGCGGAGGAGGCTGGGCAGGGAGAGGACCCAGCACCACTGGGTGGCTCTGCCACCGCACCCAGGCTCTCCTGGTAGGTAAATCAGATGGCACCAGCCAGGCCAGCACCCCCAATCCATTCATCCCTTCAAGAGCAGGGTGGCCTCAGGCTGCTGAAATTGGGGTGGAGACATTCAGCGGGGTGATTTTACAACAGAAATGAAGCAAGGGGCTCTGCTAAATTCTGGTTAGGATGCTGTGCCAAAATACTGCAACGACTGGAGAGGAAACCAGGGGAAAACAAGAAGCCAGGCTGGATTTCTGCACACCCCAACCTCAGTCCCGTCCTGGAGGAGGTCACCGCAGCCCAGGAGATGGGGGATATGGG